CGTCGCTGTTGGTTGGCTGGCTAGCTTCATCTCCTCTGTCTCCTTTATGTTTATGTGTAGTCCTGTCTTCGCTGCCTGCCAGCCTCTTCAGCCAGTCTGTTCGTTTGAGCCTGTGAGTCTTCGAGTTTGTGTGATACTTGACAACATAAATCATCTACGCGCATATTCATATATATATATATATTTTTATATATATATATATATATACTCTCATTCAGTCAGTTATGTCCTGAGTTTCCCGTGGTCTTCAACAGAATCCTTATCACAACTTACAGGTCTTGGATAACCACCGACTTCCTTTGTGAATACCTAAGGCCAAGGCACCTTCATTGTCTGTGGTGACAGCAACGCCAGTACAGTAAACTACACTGTGCTTAAGTTTTCACTTGGCCACATGCTTTCATCTCCTCTTCCCATGACCTCCTCCATGTCACCCTTGCACTGACGACCGACTCGCCGCTTCCCTTTCGGACAGGTTCCACTCGAGCAATGGCTTGTCTAGTGATGTCACTTCATGGTTTCCTCAGAGTATAGCCAATCCATCTCTATTTCTTCCTGCCTATTTGTTTCATAATCGCTTCCTGCTAGGTTGGTTCGCTCACAGAGATCCCCGCCCTGTTGCTGATCTTTTCTGGCCGGCCATCTGATCTTGAGTATTGAGCGAAGACAACTATTAATGGATGTCTGAAGTTTGTTTGAGATGCTCTTTATGACGTGCCAAGTCTCTGACCCGTATAGTAGCACTGACTTCACATTGGAGTTGGAAATCCGGATCTTATTTTCATTTTCATGCCGAGTGCTGTTGATCTCCACACAGACTTGACAGAAATGAAAGCTTTCCTTGATTTTCCGATTCTCCCTTTGATATCCTCATCAGTTCCACCCGCTTGTTGTTGCAACGATGCTTCCCAGGCAGGTAGGTAAAGGAGGTTGTTTCTTTCAGGTTCCTCCCATTTATGCTGACTAATTGTTGTCTGTTGTTGCTGTTGGTGTTGGCCAGGAATCTTCATCACCTCTGTCTTCTCTATGTTTACCTGAAGTAAGTCCTCTCTTTGATGCTTCTTCTATAGCCAACTTGTTGCTTTTCACTTGCATATCTTCCAGTTTGTGGGAAATCAGACTTATATCATCGGCGAAGTCCAAATCACCCAAGTTTTTTGTGTGAGTCCATTTCATGCCTGTTTCCTCGCTTCCCGGTGTCTGTTGCATTATCCAATCTACTGCAATCAGGAAAATTACTGAAGATAGTAGGCAGCCAGCTTTGTCTTGCTCCCATCTTCACTTCCAAGGATTCCGTAAGTTCCCCATTGTGGATCACGTTTTACCTATTATTCCACCTCTTATTAGCATTACTATTATTCATGATTCATCTAAAACTATCTTTTATCAGTAGCATTACCTTAACTAACTTCAGCATTATTGTTATTATAACTATTACTATTGATATTACTCTGTTTGCAATTTCCGTTATATTCCCTAATGACTAATTGTTTATCTAAGTGATGTAATTGAAGCGTAATGCAATTTATCTTTGATATGTATCCACATAATATGTGTGTTTGTTTTGACAGTCTGTTATATTTTGCTATGTATATATGGATCGATATTCCATTATAATTGACAATATGTTTTTGTCTGTCCACTTACTAAACAAACATGTCTGACTTTATTGTCACATGACATTACAACCAATCATGTTAAGACTGTCTATTGATTCGTTCATTTTTGAACATTCGCTCATACACTTGTGTGACATTTATTTTCCTTGTCTGGAAAAATACAAGTATCATCGTGAACCTAGTGGTTTTCTGATTTCCGCCTTCTAGCGTCAGGACTATTAATTACTCGACCAGTACATAACAATAATTTGGCGACGGGGATGGGATCAAATTATTGTTATATACTGGTCGAGTAATTAATAGTCCTGACGCTAGAAGGCGGAAATCAGAAAACCACTAGGTTCACGATGATACTTGTATTTTTCCAGACAAGGAAAATAAATGTCACACAAGTGTATGAGCGAATGTTCAAAAATGAACGAATCAATAGACAGTCTTAACATGATTGGTTGTAATGTCATGTGACAATAAAGTCAGACATGTTTGTTTAGTAAGTGGACAGACAAAAACATATTGTCAATTATAATGGAATATCGATCCATATATACATAGCAAAATATAACAGACTGTCAAAAACAAACACACATATTATGTGGATACATATCAATCTTAATTTTGATCTCTCAGACTCTCTCTCTCTCCCCTTATCTATTTGAACATGACCTGGAAAACAGTCGCAACTGTCTTTCTGCATGATTAATTCAATGTAGTTTATTTGCTTATCTCACAATGTAATTTCAAAAGTATATATATCCTGGTGTGTAAAATATTCAGCTGACGAGTTCTACCAAAAATTTGATGAATCCATCATTAAATCCTGCTTATTAACCTGCTTTGTTGCTCGTTTTAAATTCGTATCGGGAAATAAATGTCTTCGATTCTTGAAGATGGGAGTGATGAAGATAACCAACTAACCAACCAACAGCGACAACAACAACCAGCACGATACACCGTCAACGAGAGAAATTTGAAAGTAGTTACTGCCTTCCTTCACTTAACTAGACAGGAAGCATGACTTCAACTACAGGTCAGACGTTAAAGCCAGCCAGTGCGGTCCGAAAAGGCGAGATATGCCTTCATCAACCTGAAACCATATATATACAAATTCATTCCAGTAGTCAGGAACCTCATGGGTTAAATTATGCACGGTTTGGTCACCCTTGAATCTTAAAGTTACTTCTTCTTTACGCATACATTGAGCGTTAGCATAAAACCTTAATAGGTTCGTATGAGCTGCGTCCAAGTCACTTCAGTCATTTAACTCTATAACTAACTCGTACATCAGCTAAGCTGTGCTTCAACTACACAAGCGACGCTAGGGCGGTATTAGTCAAATATCACCAGTGTTCATAAATTCTCTACTTTCAGTAACCACACAACAGCATCACTACGCTGTACAGACAAATTAGTCGCAGATCAGTAATATTGCTCAGTAATATGCAATCATCCTTCCATACACGAAGGAAAATAGAAACATCAAACCTCTTGACAAACACATCAATCTTCATTTGCTCGGTTAGAATCACAAGGCTAGCTAGCTGATTTCCTTATCAGGTTGTATGTTGACGGCGATACTTTTTTGTTTCACGAACTAGACTCAAACTGAAGTCTCTTGAATTTATGCGTTAAAAGCAATGTGATTCAGATCAGTGTTATTTTGATCAAAGGTCTACTATTTGTGGATAAAAACCCAACCCTGTAAAATAAACACTGCTACCGAAACTTCATGCCACCATCTTTATATATATACATTATATATACATATATATATATATATATATATATATATATATATATATATATATATATATGGTATTAAACGGCTGTAACTCCATTTCATACTAAGGGATTTACAGTCTATATAATACAAGAATACTTAGTTCATAGTAAGCTCGTTCAAAAATATTCAGAAGAAATTTATCTACTTTGCATTCAACTTTATAACACCCAAAATGATTAGTAATCATATCCATGTGTTTAAACAAGCAATAAAGGTTAATGAAATTGGATTTACTGAATTCATCAAATTTTGGTAGAATCCCTCGTCATCTGAATACTCTACATACACGGATATATATATATATATATACCTTTGAAATTACATTGGGAGATATGACTGATAAGTAAACAAACTACATTGAATTAGTCATGCAGAAAGACAGGGGAGAATGTTTTCCATGATTGTGGGAGTAAATACATAGGTAGCACGGAAAGGCGATTGTCTACTCGAATGATGGAGCATTTGCCAAAATGGTTGAAAACAGCTGAGTGCAAAGTGCCAGAGTACTCAATAACAAAAAGGTATCCCGTTGACTATGGACATGATATCGACGCTGTCAAGTCATTCACCGTTGTCAGCAGACAGACAAAGAAACAGGAGGCTGCTTGTGCAATTCGAGTTTATAAACCAGGTCTCTGTGTACAAAAGGAGATGGTCGTCACTTTGAATCTACCATCGTAATACGTTTTACTTATTATTTTTCCTCTTATTATTATTCTTGATTCATTTAAAACTATCCATTGTTAGTAGGATTATCTTAAGTCACTTCAACACTATCATTATTATTGTTATTATAACTATTATTATTGATATTACTCTGTTTACAATTCTTGTTATATTCTTTAATGACTAATTCTTTATCTAAGTGATGTGTAATTGAAGCGTAATGCATTTTATCTTAATTTCACTCCCTCATACTCCATCTCCCCTAATCTATTTGAACATGACCTGGAAAACATTCGCACGTGTCGTTCTGCATGACTAATTCAATGTAGTTTGTTTACTTATCAGTCTTATATCTCCCAATGTAATTTCAGAAGTATATATATCCGTGTATGTAGAGTATTCAGATGACGAGGGGTTCTACCGAAATTTGATGAATTCATTAAATCATATTTTATTAACCTTTATTGCTCGTTTTAAATTCGTATCGGGAAATAAGTGTTTTCAATATCCACCTGATATTGCGAATCTCGACAAGGAAAATGGATACGACAACTGGAGGAAATTGTATTAGTTAGTTAGAATATTACGCTCAGTACACCGGAATGGAAACGAATCACCTTCAGAAATACTTAAAGTCAGTGTAGACAGGTTGTGTTAATTTACAATCGCGTTTAAATTTGTGAGATAAAGTATATGATATCATATGACATCAGAAATGAACAAAAATTCAGCAAATTCAATATAAACGTGAAGATCATTGAACTATTTGACAAGGTTATTTAAAATCAAATCCCAATCATATAGCTAGTTTGTGCTAAACCAATAGTCAGTAAGTAGATTTATACAAAATCACCAGAAGACAGACAGTGGAACGGTATAAAATTGGATTCAATTAGGGCAAAAGATATTGATAGGCTTCTAATTCACTGGTAATTTCAAGAACAAGATGCATCAAATTCAGATTTATACTTTTCTACCCACTCCCGAGCGGAAATCTTTTGAGGTAGAACGTCAGCCAAAAAATTATAACGATCCATTTCACATTGCAGTCGAGATAAATCCTTGTAAGTTAGTCCAGATTTATTTCCGCGTACCGCAGTAGATACGAGCTCACTAACGAACATCTCCTAAATCAACAATAAAATAACTAGGTAGATATACTCACAGTAGCTTTCGAAAGACATACAACAGAATCTGATGAGACACATTCTACATCTGGAGAACTTTTCATCATCAACCTAGTCCTGTATGAAGGTATACGTAGTTGCATAACATCATCTATGGTACTATAACGCGGCATCTAGCTGCAGCCCAAGGTCAACTTGTACCTGTCCTTGAAAATCAAAAAAGTGCCGAATGACATTTTCCAATATCTGATATTACAATATCCAATATCCTGGTTACGAGCTAGTATAAACCAGTGATTTCTTTGAGCTCGCTTCTTGGGCGAAGTTTAAGAATAGCGTCCCAAAACATTCAACGCTCAAATGACCTTGAACGCATGCTAGTCGTTGGCTAACGGTTCCTATCATTATCATAGCTGAAATATCAATCCTATTCATCAAATAAGGAGCAAGTTTCACCCAGATAACACTTTTATTACTGTTTGGACAATGTGTTAACATCTCGTTAGGGTTAGGATAGGGGTTAAGGCGAGTATTGTGGTTAGGGTTAGGGTTAGGGTTTAGGGTTAGGGTTAGGGTTAGGTTGGTTTAGGGTTAGGGTTAGGGTTAGGGTTATGGTTAGGGTAGTGATTAGGAATAGATTTTTCGTTTATTTCAAGTTCTTTTGTTACCCTTATTTCCCTTGTATGTAGTCGCCAATGCTCTTACTGGAACCATAGTAACTAAACCGAGGGCTGAGGAGAGGACTACACAGCAAGAGAAGAGAGATGAACCATTCCCAAAACAGCACACCTTCAGTCTCTTTGGTGAATACATCTACAGAAACTAGTCCAAATTAGCAACTGATACTCTTCATCGCAACTGGAACGTATTTTTAAGTCATATCAGAGAAATATAATCCGTTTTATGTTTTTTTCATGCATTTTTGTGTAAATATAGAATAAATTTTATGCAAAATTCCTCCTTTTTTCTGATTGGTCGGCTCTAGGTCATTGTGCGTTCGCATCTCTTGGGACTCCATTCTTAAACTTTGCCGCTTCTTGATTGTGAGGTAGAGGTTCCAGATCTTCGGTGAGCTTCTGCGTAGTAAGTCCCGCCACTCGACTGCTTTAGCTCCGGTAGACTCCAAGAAGAGTGGTGCGGGGATTGGTCGAAATGTGGTTTGTAGTATGCAGTATGTTAGGACTGTATTGCTGCCGTGAATGGAGTTTGACCTAACTCCCGTTGGTCATTCGGTGTAGTCATAAAAGCAGAATAGTAGCAATAATAATAAGAATAAAATAATGGGTTGTAGTGTAGATAATATAGGTTGAGATAAGTGGAATAATAAAGGTGACCTAAGGAAAAGATAGAGTGAGAGAAGGCAGAATAGGTCGTGGGGATTTAGTTTGTACGCTTATCCATTGACAGTGTGGTTTCAAGTTTTATGAGGATAAGCCATTGAGACACAAACCTTGCATTTCTGCATGATTGTCTAGCTTCCGCTTAAAAATCTCCAGAGAAGACGCTGTAGTCACGGCCGCCAGTGAAGCGTTCCAGAGACGGGAAACACGAAGCGAAAAGAAATGTGATCGCACTCGAGTCTTTGGTATCTGGTGTGCTATCCTTAGCGGGTTACCTCTTGGAAGCCTATAGTCACTTAATGGCAGGATGCTTTTATTTGTGTGGGCCTGGTCATTTAGGATATGGTAGACGGTGATGAGGTCTCCCCTGTGCCTTCGGTAAGTAAGTGTGAAAAGACCTAATTTCTTTAGTCGTTCCTCATATGATTTGTTGCGGAGGCCGATCACCCATTTTGTCGCTCGTCTCTGGACACTTTCTAGAATGTTAGCATCCCTTTTGAGTAGCGGAGGTGCAATGATATTATGCACCTCAAGGTGTGGCCTCACATATGCCTTATACAACCTTAAGAACAGTTCGGGAGTGAGAGCTCCCAGCTGCCTATGCATAAAGTGTAAAGTTGCGTGGGCTTTGGCGACGTCCCTCGCGTAATTTCTACTGGTGTCTAGCTTTTCTGTTAGAATAAGACCTAGGTCTCGCTCTGATTGAACACAACTCAAGTTCTGGCCACCAAGGGTGTAATCTACACTCTGTGACCTGCCCGAATGAAGTTGCACTACTTTGCACTTCTTTAGGTTGAAAGGCATTCCGTTAGCCAGAGCCCAGTTTCCCAGAGTTTGCAGGTCAGCCTGCAATCTGTCTGAGTCTTCCGATGAGTTTATTGCTCTCCAAATCTTTACGTCGTCAGCGTAAAGAAGCGCAGAGCAGTTTAGTTGGGAGGGCAGGTCGTTGATAAAAATCAAAAATGCGTCTAAAGCTTATGTATTTTACTCCCAACAATAACATTGCAGATCAAATGAGATAAACATATCACTGATTTCAAAGTAACACATCAATGAACTATAAATCAAGGATTCTACACACAACAAAGTATTGTACGAAAATTGACTTCAAGCTTTATTTTTTTCCCAGGCACTTATAACCCATCCACCAAAGACCTGGTTTCTTTTGTTAATGCGAAGACAATACTTCTGTATTTCCTGATGTGTTGCACTCACTGACAATCTAGCGGATTTTTTAAACTATGCACAGAAATGATTGTACATAAGTGAAAAGGATGTTTTACATTATTGGGATTAACATTTATCAAGTGTATGTATAATCTCCAGTGTACATGTTAAACATATTTTGCTATCGATTGTAAAATGTGAGTGAATAATATGGTTCTATTTCTGTAACAATTTGATGATGCCTGTAAACTGGCGTCCCTCATGTACTGTATCATGAGAATAAATTTATTTATTTATTTATCAACGGCCCTAGGATAGAACCCTAAGGAGCCCTGATGCCGAGGTGTGCCAGGATGATCGGATGCGGTTGACTTTGGTGCAGAATTCTCTCTTGCCCAAGCAATATTTAAGCCATGCGAGAAGTGCTCCAGAAACACCCGCCTTACTTATTTTGTGAAGGAGCAGACCATGGTGAACTGTGTCGAATGCTTTCGCAAAGTCGAGAAAGATCACGTGGGCTGGTACCTTTTCGTCCCAGGATAGTGTCCAATCATTCCAAGCTAGTAGAAGATTCGTCACGCAGGATCTTCCCCTCCTAAAACCGTGCTGTCCTTCGTGGAGAAGGTTAGTCCCGTCGAAGTATTTTCTCATGTGGTCGTCAATGAGACTTTCCAATATCTTCGATATCACTGGAAGTAGAACAATTGGTCTGTAACTGGTCGCATTCTGCCGGTCACCACCGTTGAAGATAGGGGATAGGATTGCTCGTTTCCATTCACATGGAAGTTTCCCTACATCAAGGGAGTGTTGGAACAGATCACTTAGGGGTTGGCAGAGACTTTCTGAACACTGCTTCAGGACAGATGGTCTGATGTCATCACAACCTGAAGACTTTCCTGAAGCCAACCTTCCCAATTTTGCAAGTACCATAGCAGGGGTAATTTGAAATGTACCCGGCAGGTTTTCGCGCGTTGGTTTTGCGATGTAATCTGGATGTTCTGTGAGGGTAATATCCTCGTTACCTTTTAGTTGCCTGTGAAAGGCTAGGCTGAATGTCTCTGCCATTTCAACACTAGTAAGAGATTTCCCATCAGTACCCAGTAGATTGCATGCTCCCTGGTTGGTCGGTTTTCTTTCGGGCATAAACCTGTATAGGCTTCTGGGGTTCACGAGAAGCTTATTGGCTGCAATTATCCCGCACGTCCAAGAACGTTGGATGGACAAGGTGCTTGAAGGTCGCTTTTGTCCATGATAGTTGGTCATATCAGATTGCTGTTTCCTAACCATACGCTCACAGGCCAGCTTTTACTTTTGTAGAGCAGTAATTCGCGACCTACCTTAAAGCAGACTGTTCACAAGTGTTAGATATCCGATTAAGTTTTTTACGAGCTAGTTTAAACCAACCTGATTACTATGCGCTTGTCTCTTGATTGTGGGGTAAAGGTTCTTGGTCTTCAGTTAACTTCTGCGTAGTTGGTCTACGACGTGATTGATGTGAAGTTGATCGACCAGAAAGTACTAGGTAAAGGCTAAAACCTTTTCTTTTCCTTGTCTTTTTACTTTTTCAGTATTATTCTTGTTCTTCTGGGTAGATAATGTTGCTCTCTTATTCATATATAGCATGTCACAGTGGTTGTTAATATGACTGTTGAAAGTAGCCTTAGAAAAAACACTAAAACACCATAATCTGTAGTCACAAGGGTTTCAGTAAGACAAGGCGAAAACCCAGGGACATCAACATCTTCCCGCGTACCGACCCCAAAACTCGTGTAGGTCTAGTTTGTCCTGATACTACGCCTGCATTTCCACAGTCTAGTACCGAAACGCGCGATCTACGCGCGCTTTTCGATCTGTGCGTTACTATTTGCTGTAATATATAAAACTCTAAATTCTTTGTTATTGCTCACCACGAAGTTCTGGAATTTATTGCATTCCGTTAACTTTCGAACGCTTAAACTCTGGATATACCATCACTGACTACTAATAACTATAACAAAGTTTTTGGACATATGGGTCTTTTAACAATAACTAATATGTATAATTGTATATATTATTGGATTTATGTGTTCAAGTTGGCCGAAGTTAGTGATTCCAAGTTTTTGGTATCATTTTAGTTAACTGTGCTGAACTACATTGCATGTTGTTGTATTGTATCGTTGTTGTCGCTTTATGCATTTTTTGCTGTAAATTATTTTCCTTTTCCTGGTGTTGTTCTGACTATTTTATCCCTTGTTTTCCGATTTTAAGGGGAGCAACCCAAAAAGTCGCTTCTCTCTAAACTTTATCTTAATTTAACAATTCCTTTCTCAGGCGTGAGGCTAGCAACCCCACCCTGTAAACAAAACTCCTACAGAAACTTCAGCACGATGAACCTCTTTGCACCAAAAGAAAAAGTCTGTGCGGGGACATGGAACGTCCGCACTATGTACGAGACTGGGAAAGCTGCCCAGATCGCAAACGAGATGAAAAGATACGGAATCCAAGTGCTGGGAATATGTGAAAGCAGATGGAATGGGAGTGGACTCACCAAATTGTCAACGGGTGAGTCAGTGATCTACTCCGGTCACCCAGAAGATAACCACACGCACACCGAGGGCGTGGCTATCATGATGTCACCAACGGCAACAAAGGCCCTGATTCAATGGGAGGCGATCTCGTCCAGGATA